AATGGGTAGGAAAGCCCCACTTCCAGGAGCTCCAACTTCAGTTACCTTTCTCTGTAATCAAAATGCTTTTTCTTTCTTTCTTTCTCTCTTTCTTTCTTTCTTTCTTTCTTTCTTTCTCTCTCTCTCTCTCTCTCTCTCTCTCTCTCTCTTTCTTTCTTTCTTTCTTTTCTTTCTTTCCTTCCTTCCTTCCTTCCTTCCTTCTTTCTGTTTTGTTTTTCGAGACAGGGTTTCTCTGCGTAGCTTTGGTACCTATCCTGGAACTCACTCTGTAGCCCAGCCTGGCTTGGAACTCACAGAGATCCTCCTGCCTCTGCCTCCCGCATGCTGGGACTAAAGGCGTGCGCCACCACCGCCCAGCTTAAAATGCTTCTCTAATTTACTGAAAGGGAGGGAACATCCACACAAACACACTCTGCTGAGTCCAGGTGTGTTGCTGGAACAAACACCTGAATGTAGCTAGAGTTTTCCTGCCTTGCCCACAGTCAGGACAAATCTCTGTCACCCGCCAGTCCCACAGCCGCTCCAAGTAAACACAGAGACTTATATTGCTTACAAACTGTATGGCTGTGGCAGGCTTCTTGCTAACTGTTCTGCTAGCTTAAATTAATCTATTTCCATAAATCTATACCTTGCCACGTGGCTCGTGGCTTACCGGCATCTTCACATGCTGTTTGTCATGGTGGCGGCTGGCAGTGACTCTGCCTCAGCCTTCCACTTCCCAGAATTCTCCTCTCTCCTTGTCCCACCTATACTTCCTGCCTGGTCACTGGCCAATCAGTGTTTTATTTATACAGAATGATATCCACAGCACCTGAAGTTCAACAGGTTATTTGATCCACAATCCTAGAGGCTCAAGGTTAGAACCTGAAGACAATCTTCTCATTGAGAAGTCCTGAGGTAACACAAGTTGTCATTACAGCAGGAGTACCTGTCTCTTCTGAACCTGATTCTTAAAAACCACTGGGATTAATAACTGGATTCCATGTAGTGGGTAGCCATTCCAGCTTTGACCTGGAAGTTCTAACCCCCACTGAGGCTTCTGTAATGGTCACACCTACAAGGCGGGGCAGAGAGAGGACGCTGAAGACCCAAGATCCGAATGCGCGGGCTCTCTTGGTTCCTGGACCCTGGACGCTGAAGGTAGACCGAGCATAGTTCTCCAGAGAACACTGCCGGACTGCGCTACACTTTCCCAGACCCTGTTACCTATCCCTTCACTTGTGAGTTACCCCACAAAATAAACCTCCCTTTTAACCACGTGGAGTGGCCTTAATAATTTCACCCTGATGACCTTGTCTAACCCCACTCTTGTTACAAAAGCCTCACCTCTAAACACCAGAGAATAAAAGTTCTACCTTCCTACTACTTTCCAGTGCAGACTCAAGCTGCACCTAATCCCAAGGCCCATCAGCCAATGAGCCTCACAGTCTATGCAGGCCTAGCAGTCCTTGATATATTTCACTATCAGAACAGTAGCCTGCAATGAGATTGTTCCCCTCTGCAGCAAAGAATCAAGAGCACAAAAGGCAGTTATTTCCTTACAGTCACCTCCGGCTGAGTCACTAACCATGAAATTCATATATATCATCCTAATTCAAGACCACTACTATTTTCTAGAAGCTGGACAAGGTAACTCACACTTGTAATCATAGCACTCAGGAAGTTGAGGCAAGAAGACTGGCATGAGTTCAAGGCTAGCTTGGGTCAAATATAGCAAGACCCTCTTTGCAGGGAGGGAAGAATGAGATGCTGAAGCTACATAGCCAAGGTTGGACTGGCAAGAATCTAAACTCCAGATCCAACTATGAAACTCAGATCATAGTATTTTGGATCAAGGATAAACTTCAGCTACCCAGGACAAGTCTGCTCACCCTTCGTTCTGTGCTTCTGGCTGATGAGCAGAGCTTATCATTTGGAGTAATGGGTCCTGTAATAGAGTAGTGATTTGGTTCTGGCTCTAACACTGGATCACATTCTCAACAGCCTCCACTGTCAGCAAACTAGAAAGCTGAGGCATATTAAAGTGGTAACTGTGGGAGCCCATAAGTAAGAATACACAGCTAGTAACCCCCACGTATGAGAAAATGGAATTAGAAATCTATCGCAGGGCCAAACACCCACAACCCATTTCCAGGTCTAGGGTATGCATCTGTTAGGTCACTTCCCACATCTATGTCCGCAAACCCACTCCTGCACAACAATGGTGTCAAACACTGTGGCAGAGGGCGAGGCATCAGCCCACAGCAGTGGCCAGTTCCTACACATAACCACAGTGGTGTTTCCAACTCAACCTTTAGACTTACATAAACTTAGACCTGAAGGCTACCTGCTTTGAAATGCCACATCAGACACAGTGACTTCTGTGACATTAGGTGGGCTGAAATACATACATGCATTTGGTTGACCACATACTTTGAAACAAACAGAGCAAGTAAGGACACAACAAAGAACCACAGATCTGAACAAGGATTGTTCCAGCCACTAGAATGAACAAGGGCCAATTCCAAGTGTCTTGAGTATTTGAGCTAACAAATAGCTTTTTATTCCTTAAAGAAACTAGAGGAATAATTTCACTGTTAGAAGTTTTAACCTGTAAAACTTACAGTATATACCCACCACAGAGACATGAGTTTCTGTAATACAGAATGGCCTTTCTCCCACAGGTCACTCCCCAGATAGGTCCATGTGATACTAGCTCCTAGGAGAGCTTGTCCTTCCATCCGCAGAGTCCCTGCCACACTTAGCCACCCACATCCTGGGCATACACAAGCCCATGATGCGGTACAGCTTAAGGATACTTTAGTATAGCTCTACTTTTTCGCCTCCTTTCACTTTCACTACACAGTGAGCTAGAGCATGTCATAACTTTTACTCTACGGTAAGTTTCTCTCAATTTCTCCAGTAGGAGAAAGTCAAAACATTAACAGTTACAGCATCTCATATGTACTGGGCTGGGGAAAATGAAACAATACAATCATTGATTGTTCAGATGACACCAAAAAGAACGATGCTCAGTTTCAGGACAAGGATGTGAATAGAGATAAGGCAGGTTACTTGATTTATCAAATGAGCAATCCACCAAGAAGCTATCACAATTATCAACATACACATGTTGAGAATATGTGTATCCAATTTCATTAAAAAAAAAAATCTACTGGACAAAAACTCCCAATACACTGATAGTGGGTGACGTCAATACCCCACTCTCACCAACAGACAAGTCATCTGCAAAAAAACTGAAGAGACAAACACTGGAGTTAAATGATACCATTAATCAAATGGACCTAACAGGCATCTACAGAACATTTCACCTAAACATAAAAAATACACAGTCTGTTTTGTTTTGTTTTGTTTGTTTGTTTGTTGTTGTTGTTGTTGTTTTTCAAGACAGAGTTTCTCTGTTTAATCTTTGCTTTCCTGGAACTTACTTTGTAGACCAGGTTGGCCTCGAACTCAGAGATCTGCCTGCCTCTGCCTCCCAAGTGTTGTGATTAAAGATGTGCACTGCCACCGCCAGGCTAAGAATATAAGGTTTTATCAACCGCTCGTATTCTCCAAAATCAACCACATTTTAGGACATAAAACAATTCTCAACAAATATGGGAAAATGAAATAACATCCTGCATTCTACCTGATCATAATAATAAAGCTGGATATCACTAGCAATAGAAACTAAAGTAAGTACACAAACTCATGGAAACTGAACAACACACTTATACTAAATGATAACTGGGTCGAGGGAGATATCAAGGATTATTAAAAATTCCTAGGATTCAGTACAAATTAAAACAAAACATACCAAAACCTATGGGACACAATGAAGGTAGTCCTGAGAAGAAAGTTAATACGACTAAGTATCAACATCAAAATATTTGAGCCGGGCGGTGGTGGCGCACGCCTTTAATCCCAGCACTCGGGAGGCAGAGCCAGGTGGATCTATGTGAGTTCGAGGCCAGCCTGGACTACCAAGTGAGTTCCAGGAAAGGCGCAAAGCTACACAGAGAAACCCTGTCTCGAAAAACCAAAAAAAAAAAAAAAAAAAATTTGAGAGAACTCAAATTAATAAACTAAACATGCACCTTGCATGGCTTAGAAAATAAGACTCAAAAACAGTACATGGGAAGAGAGAATCAAAATTAGGACTGAAAAACTAATAAAATGAAACAAAAATATATAGGTTAGTTGTTTGCGAGGATTCACAAGATTGACAAAACTTTTGCCAAAATAACCAAAAGAAAAAGAGAAAAGACCCAAATTAATGAGAGCTGAAAGGAAGACATTACAACACTGAGAAAATTCAGAAAATCATAAGGACATACTTTAAAATTTTATATTCCACTAAAATTGAAAATCTAAAAAAAAAAAAAAAAAAAAAAAAGATTTCTAGATGCAGATGACCTAACAATGTTAAACCAAGATGAAGTTAAGTACCTTAAGCAGACCCATAACAATAAAGGCAGTAATTTTAAAAAGGCCCAGGGCCAGGTGGCTTCAGTGAAGAATTCTACCAGACTTTCCAAGAAATAACAGCAATATTCCTCCAATAGTTCCATAAAATAACTGATGCAAAGAGGGAAGCTTCATCCCTCCCTACTGGCTAGCTTTCATAGTGCTGGAAGACGCTATGTGTGCTGCCTGAAGAAAAAAATATTAGCAGTCTCACCCAGCAGTGAACTCAGTGAGCTACAATAGTGAGCAGCTCTGTGAGCTACGCCAAGCGCTGCAACAGCAGCACAAATATTATGGGAGTAACCAACCACTTTCTTCTTAGACTTCAGGGTCCCTCCACAAGAGAGAACTTACGTCTGGTGCTATTAAATGGCCAAAAATCCATGGCAAGCGAGGTTATAGGTCCTACAGGAGAATCTATACTACTATTCTGCTAAACAAACATAGTAATAAATTTCTCCTTAAGTTCTTATCTTTACACCCAAAGAATAGTCCATCTCTCATCCCTGGACAAAGAAGCTTTTTTTTTTCTTTTTCTTTTTGTTAAAAAAAAAAATATGGAATGCTTCATGAATTTGTGTGTCATACTTGCGCAGGGGCCATGCTAACCTTCTCTGTATCATTCCAATGTTAGTATATGTGCTGCTGAAGCGAGACAAAGAAACTTCTTTTTACAAGAGATGGCAATTAATACACAGAACCACAATTTGTCAAGATGCAGAGAATAAGAGAGTGGTGGAAAGCTCCACTCTAAATGTGACAACCATGTCACATCTCCAATTCTTTCCTCAATAAGGCTCAGGGATCATCATGGAAGAGAGGACAGAAAGACTGTAAGAGCCAGAGGCAGCGGGAGGCTGAGCAAAACAGTCTTCTCTGGCTGTAACAGTGGCACTGCACACATGAACTCAACAGTGGCTATGACTGCATCTACAAGACTTGCACATGATAAGCAGCCAAAGTCCTAGCATGAATAGGGGAGGGACTAACGAAGTCTCAGCCCAGCTAGGGAGCCAGCTGTTGGCAACTAATGGATGCTGAGATGGGAAAGTCAGTTTTCTTCGCAGGTACAGAGAAGCTACCTATCACCTGTGGTTAAAAGAAAGGAAAAAGAGACAGAGCAACTATGCTGAACATGTCTACCAGTATAAGAAGTTTCCGGTGCAGACTTTAGTATATTTTCTGTATAGAGTCATATCATCTGCAGATAATGATACTTAGGTGTTTTCTTTTACTATGTGCATCCCCTTTATATTATTCTTGTATTTTATTGCTCTAGCAAAGACTTCATGCACTATGGTACACAGGAGTGTATAGACCCAAAACCAGAAATATATGGACAGCACAAATGGAAGTTGAGGAACCATTAATTAATTTTTTAAGAGAATATGAAGTGGGGTAGAGAACCAGGGAGAAGTTAAAGGGATAGGTTAGAGCTAAAATATATTACATGAAATTCTCAAAATTATTTAAAAAGAGAGACTGAGAGAACAAAGTTGAGAGGAAAAAGTGGGAGGGGCAAAATCAGGGCATTTGAAAGGAAGAAAAAGGGGTAGATTTGATCAAAATGTACTATATAAACTTAAGAAATTCTCAAACAATTAAAAAACAAAACATCCTATGACAAGCCAGGCATGGTATATACACCTGTAATTCAAACACTTGGAGGATATGAAGAGGATGATCAGGAGGCCAAGGCCATGCTCAGCTGCCTACTGAGTATGAAGTCAGCCTGGCCTACATGAGAGCCTAACTCAAACAACAACAAAAAGATCATAAGTCAAATTTAGTCATCTTAAAGAAGAAGAGAATAAGATCCAGAAAAGATCTGATTTAGTTTAGAATGCAAGCCAGTCTATGCTGTACAGACTGACTTTGTGCAGCCAGTATTTCCAAACACTGAAAGATCACCCTCAAATAATCTTCACGGGCTAACCTAGGCCACCCATGCCTTAGTTTATGAAGAAACACATACTACCGCATTATCCCATGGAAGCTCAATCATCAAGAGCTCCACATTGAAAAGCAATGTTAACTTGCACAATGATGTGAAGGTGACACATTTACATTAGTTGGTTAAAACTAATGGAATTATGAAAATGTGCTGATACTAGTAAGTACACAATCTGAGACAAAAGTGGATATAACAAAGTATGTGAATGTTGTCACCAATAGTCAAGAGGACAAGGGCCCTAAGCTGATAAACTTAGTGTGCTAAGGGAGGAGGAAGAAAAGGGTACACATATCCCCAACACCAAGAAAGACTAAGGTAACTAAAGACTGCCCAAGGAACAAGTTAAAAAACACCACTAAAACACAAAGCCAAAACCAGTACTGTAACATCCCGAAAACTGTGGCTCAAACTGCAGTCTCATCTATCAGGAAAGGGTAGGCAGGGTCTCACAAGGAAGAAAACGCAGGACAATGCCCAAATCTACTTCATGCACTCCTATTCTATCCTTTACAAAATGCTCACCAGTGAACCCTTACTTAAAACTGCACTGACAATTTATTTCAGTGATTAGAGCTAGTACTCCTGCTGACAGAAGCAGAATTTGTGCTAAAAAATAACTAGTTTGCAAAATTGTCCAACTTTCAATTTAACACATTTTAATGTTTTTAAAAATCCATTTGTGTTACATAAGTCTTAGGCATGAAAATATGCACTTATAACTAGGAATGTTATACTACTTTAGTTCTCGAGGAACAGATAAATCAAGTGTCTAACTTCTGTATATTAAATTGGGGTCATCTTTTTCAGGGCTGGGTGGTGAGTGGAAAAGAGGACAGCATATGATGGCAGCAAAAGGACAGGAGCCAGGATTTGTGCTAAAACATGGCTTGTATTCACTCTCAAATCTAGCTCCTGCTGGGATGACATGGGCTTTGTGACAGCTGGCTACATGGAAGCTGAGGGAGGGTTGTTGTTTTAGCTTTTTCACTTTGAGAATCTCCTATAGCCTACGCTGGTCTGGAATTTAGTGTATAACCAAGAATGAGCTTAAATTCCTGATCCTCCTGTTTCTTCTTTTGGAGTATTAAGATTACTAGGGAATCTCCACAGTCAGTTTTATGATGCATATGGGACAAGCATTCTACCAACTGATTACATCATCAGCTCTGGAAGCTCCTCTTAGTTATGCACAGTTAATGGTGCAGAATTTCCAGATCCCCAAAGAACTCGAATTCTGCCTACTTTGATTTGAGTTTGGGTGGGGAACCTAAGTTCTGGGTAAGCATACAGCCCAAATGACACCTTAATTTCAGCCTTGCAAACTCCTGAAGAGCAAACCCAGTGAGATATAGCTGGACATCTGCAGAAACTATGGAACAGTAAGTAGGTGCTATGTAAGGCTCCTAAGCTTGGGTTAGCTATTACACAATAACAGGATGTACAGTTAACAAATAATGTTAAATAAATGGCTTCCCATTCCATTACACGCTTTGAATACTAAAAGCTGTATCTATCAAGGTTCCCAAATACATACATACACACACACACACACACACACACACACACACACACACACACACACACACTTTGATGTTCCAACAAATAGGTCACTTTATCTCCGATCCAAAACAGTTGATATGCTATATGCTAAAAAAAAATAAAGCCAGGTAGAGAGCATAGTCATTGTAACTAAACAGTGTGTTAAGTAAATATATAAGAAACAATGGGCCAGGTGGTGGTGGTGCATGCCTTTAATCCAAGCACTCGGGAGGTAGAGGCAGGCAGATCTGTGAGTTCGAGGCCAGCCTGGTCTACAGAGTGAGATCCAGCAGAGGAACCAAAACTACACAGAGAAACCCTGTCTCAAAAAAAAAAAAAAGAAAAAAAAAGAGTAGAAACAATGGGAGCTTTAATAGCTTAAATATAAAAGGTCACCCACAAACACCTGTGCTTGAACATTTGGTTCTGAGCTGATGGGGCTTCTGGGGAGGTTTCCCCAACCTTTAGCACATGTGACCTAGCTAACAGAAGTGGGTCACCAAGGGTGCACCTTGAAAGATAGATACCAGACTCTGTCGTTCCCTAGAGTCTGCATTGTGTTCTTGCAGCACCATGAAAGAATTCTTCCGCTTCTTGTTCTCAGAGCCACACCTTCTCCATCACTGGTCCCAGCAGTCCTTTCTTTGGGTATTGTATCAGAGAGATGAGAAAGTCTAGGAAAGCAAGGGCTTGTTTCCTTCTCTTTTCTCTTGTACTCTCTGAACATCCCAAATGGTGGCTGCCACCCTAACTTTTTAAAACTCCCACTATTTCCAGTTACTCAGGCATGATAGTGCCTTGAGATTTTAAAATAATAAGACCACAATGTCTTTGCTCTTCCAGAGAAAGAGGTTGTGTTTCTCAGTTTTTATGACCCTGAACTTACAGCTAAGATTATCGTCTATTCTCAGAGTATTTGTACCAAAAAAGCAATCGTAGCTTTGTATTTATTTTAATCCTCCCAACACAAAAGAAAGTATTGCATAAATAAGACTAAAATGTTAAGTGGGGAAATAGCTGAAATCAAATCAATTACCTGTACACCTCTGCAGTTGTTCTTCGAGGCCAGACAAGATCTCTGCACTAAAGAGGTAGTTCTTTGCTTCTTCCAACCTCCAGAAAGGCATCAAGCAAATGGCCAGCACCTCTGAAGTCGCAAGGTCCCAACAATAAAATCTATTCTCGTCTCTTCCTTATTTACAAAGAGTCAAATAAATGCCCAGAAGAAGATAAAGGTAAGTACAGGTATCTACTATCTGAAACATTTACTGTGCACCATGACTACATTAAAAGTGATTGTACTGCAGAGAAAATATTAGCCATTTTTTCACTTCCCTCTTTGCAAAGTATTATCAGCTGTTTCATCATTACTCATACAACTTCTACAAAAAATTTCACATGCTAAACAACTCAAGATAATTTGGTTTCACCTAACAGCAGTGACAATAGTTTACATTATAACCAATTAGTAGTTGTTCAAAAACATGTTAGCTTCAAACTAAGAATATTTGTTCAAAATAAGCACTCAACAGTTTCTATGTGAATGACATCTGTGCACTTAATTAAAATAATTGTAGATGTCAATACTGGTCAAAAATAACATCAGCACATAAGTACAAGACAAAGAGAATAAAAACACATCTATTAATAGCACTATAAATACAGCCTATTCATGCATAAGGCTTCCAATATTGAAGGAGAAACACAAAGTACTTGTATAGTGTTAATTGTGGCTTTTCTTCACCTGGCACTGAACTTGCTTCTTATGGCCAGGTCTCAGAAGATCATTTATGTCTCAGTCAGGCCTAAGCTGTCTAACAGATCACAAAAGATCAGAGGGAGACACACATGAAGCAGGCAAAGTCTTTGCAATAGATTAACCACTGAAAGCAATGAAAATTCCTGAAGTTTGGACATGGATTTAAAAATAGGAACTAAGGACTATAGCTCTGCAGGGCATGGGTACATATGTCTAGGAAACCTAGCTCTCAAGAACAAATGTTAACAGATGACAACTGGCCTGACAAACCATGTTCACTTCTATTAGCTTCACGTAAGTCATCAGATCATCAGATGAAATCACCAAAAGGCAGGACCAGACCCTAATCAGTATATATACAAAATCCCTTGCTTTTGAGCTAACATGACCATAAGACATAGG